CAACTTAACAAATAAATATTTAGATACTTTTACTTTTAGTTTTTCAAACCATTCTGCTCTATTTTTAGAAAATGGATTTATATCTTCTACTGACCCTAAAATATATTCATTACCATTATCATGAAACTCATGCTCTAAATTATTCTGTACAACATTATCATTTTTATAAGTGCACATTTTGGAAAAGTGATTTTTTTTTTACGGTTCAAGCAAATCTTACTATAAGCAGGACAATTGTATAACTTATCAAAAGTTCCACATATTCTGCATGGTTTTGGATTGTTATGCGCATTTTCTTGATAGTTTGAAGACGATTTACCACTTTGTTGCTTTTGTTTTGCATGGTAGTTTTTCTTACAAGGCTGACTTTTTTTTCTCTGAAGGTGGAAATTTATTCCATTTGATCACTTCTATTTTATTTTATTCAGTTAAAGTTTTCAGCTGAAGTTCTGCTATTCAGAAGCTTTACACATTTTAATACATTTCTCTAATGTTAACTGATCTTCCATTAATGATCTATCTTTGATATTTTTATTTAGAATTCCACTTACTATTCTATCTCGTATTAAACTATCTTTTAATTCTGCAAATCCACAGTTGCTACTTAATTTCTTTAAATCTGTTAAAAAATCATCAAAGGATTTATCTACATGTTGTGTTCGACAGAAAAATATATGTCTATCAACACTTTTGTTTGCTTTCGGTATGCAATAATTTTCGAACGCTTCAGTTACTTTATCAAAATCCTTCTTCTTACCTTCTTCACTTAAATTAAAAGTATTAAACTTTTCAAGTGCTTCTTCACCAATTCAGTTGATTTAGTAATACCACCAGACACTAACATATAAATTTGGAATTTTTATTTCCACTTCTTTCAATTTTAGCTTAAATTGCCTTCGAAATTTAGATTACTTGGTAGCTTTAATCCATCCATATTTAATGAAAACTTTAAATAGTTCATATATATGCATTTTTAGCCATTTCAAATAAAAATGAACAATGCACTTACCAGCGATGGAAGTTTTGTTTTCACTGTAACAACTTCTCATCGTGTTTTAGTTTAGAATGTCTTTATACACAAGTGACGCTGCATATTTCTTTTTTAATTTATTGTTTTTATCGCCATGTATTATTTTTATAAGTTAGATATGCCAGTGATGGTAACGTGATGTTACACATTTCGTTTATTCTACATTACTAATCTAGTATTCTATATCACAGTTATGATTAATGATAGTAATAGTTACAGTTACATATATAACACTAATATTCATATAAATTAGTTTATTTCAGAAAACACTGATATTTTTGTGCCCACCAGCGGCCAAGTGGTAAAGATGCTGAACACTGGTAGTTCGGTCCGAGGTTCGAATCCCGCGAACGGGCTGGCTGCATGGGTGTTTTCATGGTTTTCCCCATGTGTAACGTGTATACGAGCCAGTTTCTCTTAGAAAGCCCTCCACGAAGGTATCCCTCCCCTTAGGCAGATAGCCCTAAGTGTGCTTTGCCATAATTAAAGACACCAACACCAACCTGATACTTTTGTTGCCAAAATGCCTGAAAAAGATAGTAATAGAAAGCATGAAAACCATTGTTTCAGATGTTATTTATGAAAATATTATTTGTATATTTATATTATGTAACTTGTATATATTTACTTGTATGTATGTTTATAATACACTCATCCCAAAAGGAAAAAAAAATCTTACAGCCACAAGGAAACTAGCTTCCTGAATAACATCAAGCTTGTAGATTTGTCACTGTTATAATAATGAATCACACATTTATTATAACAGTGACGATCATCCATCCATACATTCACATTCATCCATGCAAATGAAGTCAGGAAGGACAAGGCTTATCCCCGTACCTTTCACATTATAAAAGATTTTTCTGATGAATAAAATTTTTATTTTGACTTGTGTTGGCATTAAAGCTGTTGCTTTAAAGTACACTATGCCTCAGAGACAAATTTGAGGGTAATTTGAACAGTTGGAAACATCCAAGAAAAGTTGCATCATAGAACAGTAAAATAGTCGACGAGTGTATTACATGCTATATGTGTAGTGGAATTTTACTGCTGCACTGTGTTAGAGGCTTTTGATTCAAGAAGGCACACACACAAAACAGGAAGCTCCAAGAGATCTAAACAGACACAATTAGGGAAGGGAAGACTGAAACGTTGCTCAACCGCCTGCCGTTATTACAGATATTCCGTAAGTAGTAATGCTGTGAATGCCAGTATGATTAGCAGACAGACATATACTACTTACTGAATTATAGGAATGCAGACCATTATGATGACTGCCTGACACCACAAGTTGTAGTCGTTATGAGAGAGCTTTATAAAGCTATGTCAGCAAGTAATTTTGAGTGATAAGTCTCTTTTGTCTTGGTGCAAATGAGCAAAATATCCATGTGTTTTGAAAGAATTTATCCTGATTCTGAAAGACACTGCTGAGAACTCGTGTTTTGTGCTTCATGCAAAACACATCCTTAGCCCCCCCCAAAAAAATAATCTAAAAGGCTTCAGATTTTTAATGATCACCCAAAAGGGACTGTTATGGGTTTTTATGCTCCCACTGAGCTCCCAGTTTACCAATCGGCTGTTACACTCACTCCTGCTAACTTTTATTCTTTCGTCTTTTGTGATGGTCATTTGTCTGTGAAGCAGGTCAAACTATGTTTTGGTGCTATGTCCAGAGAGGGTATTTCAGATATATATATATATATTAAAGAAGAACTTTAAAATCAGTGAATTTTGAAATGTATTTAAAAGGTTTAAAATGTAAAATCCCGCATTATTGCTCCAAAGATAATATTTAATTTAATAATGTATATAGAAAATATATAAATGAAAATTATGTCCTAGGAAATTTGAAGTGAAATTTAGAATGCAAAAGTGCATTACTGTGATAATTATTAATTGTAATTTGTAAATATAAATACACTGGAATTGCCAATTAAAAGTGACAAAAGAAGAAAATAAAATAAGATAGTTATTACGGATTCTAGAAAAAGATCCTGACTTTTCAAGAGGAACTGGAACCTCTCCATGCAACCACCAATAATTCACAAGAAGCACGTTTTGTCTTCTTCCATATCTAAACAAATCCTTTTTCAATTTTACATATCTGTTCGATTTTATGATATTCGAATTTAAATCTTAAAAATTCAGGTATATGAGATAATTCCCTAATGACTATCTATTACTATCTATTACTACTAATTTAAAAAATAAACATAGCAGTCATACAGTACTTAAAACTAAAAATAAGAAAAGTATGAGAAACTGAAATAAAAACACGATGCAAATAAAAAGAAAGAAACGAATAAATAAAAGTCACTTAAACATTAAAATTTACATGTAAATAAACCAAAATTAACTTTTACTTACATTTTACCCCAACAAAAGAAATTTCAAAGCAGTGCCTTCACAGCAACAAACATGCAACTTTGAGGGTTGTCATGATAAATGTATGGGAGAAATAGAGACTGGAAGAAATTATCATTGGCAAGAACGTTCTTCCTGTGTGGCAGTTCAGCAAAAAAAGGAGAGAAAGTAGTAGTAAAGACTGTATTGTAAGAACTGGAAAATTTAAGAAATGCAGAAAAAATTTTTAATTTTTATAATACAAAAACTGTATAGTATGAACTTCATAATTAAGAAATGAATTTTAGAATTAATTCTGGCTGAAAGTCAATTCAAATGAAATTAGTGTTTTTACAACTAAAAATGTGTGGTGTGGTGTGGTGGTGTATTTAATTATGGCAAAGCACACTCGGGTTATCTGCCTAAGGGGAGGGATGCCTTCGTGGAGGACTTTCTAAGGGAGACTGGCTCATATACACGTTACACATGGGGAAAACCACGAAAACACCCATGCAGCCAGCCCTACAACTAAAAAGGAAGGTAGCCAGAATATTTACAGAAAATATTTAATACAGTTTAATTACAAAATATACAAATCATCAAAGCTTTCAGGGCCTTTTTTATTACCCTTCGTAAGGTTTCGGATAAGCTTCTCATTACCTGTTAATTTAAAGATTAAATCTGATATTTAACAGTATTTTTTTTTTTTTTTTTAGTAATAAAATTTGTAGGTACTTCTCTAAGAAAACCAATCTCTTCTTTAAAGTTATCAACTTCTGTGCATATTTTTTTAAATCTATTAGTTTGGTTGATTATTGTGTTACTGATGACATTAGTAGAGGTATTTGATTTCCAGTTAATAAGTTTAATTGTAAAAAAATTAAAGATTCTTATTTTTTGTCAAAAAGTTTGACTCATTTCTTGTTAATTTTTATTTGTCTTATTAATTTTTAAGCAAGAAGGGTAGATTTGGAATTTTTCTATGGCTTCATAATTATTAGCATTCCTTTCCTTGGTAAATAGGCCTTGACTGCTTTGCCATAATGAAACTAATGCTCATCCTCGTACTGGTGTTATTTCTGGCTTGCCTAGCAGCTATAGATAATCTGGCATGGTGATTATGACTCCAATGTTGTCAGAAAATCAGAAAGAACAAGACAGTCCAATCTGCATGTTAACGCAGGACTGTGTGAAGCATCTCTATGACTTCATGTTATGACATACAGCAAAATGCATTAGAATAACAGCTTTTATAGCTTGTGAATATGTTTTTAAAAGAGGTGTGTTAACTATTCGTCACACTCACTCTCACTTTTTAAAAATAATTTAATGTCATTGAACACTACTGACTTCTTTCCAAATAACATGCAGGTTTTTTTATTTGATGATGGGTGTATTGTATGGAAATTACGATAAATTATAAGGAATGAGGAAACATTTGTTAAACTACTGGAATTTAATTTTTCAACCTATGCTAATTTTATGTTACAAAGATACTATGAATGCAAAAATAATGAGCTAAGTTTGTATTTCTACTAAGATATTCCATATTTTGAAAATGAAATAAGTATATCATTTCAAAGTTTTTTTTTTAATAATCATATTCTTTGATGATTTTTTCTCAAAGCTTCAAATCTTACTGGTGGACCATCTCCTCGAGAACTGATTCGTTTATTAGACCAGTGTGATCTGACAAATTCTCACTGTTCTACACCTTGCATCAGCCCATCAATAGCAAGTTCTGCAGCTGGTTCTCGACTAAAAGCATCAAATCTTGCATTTTTATGTCATCAAGCTAAGTCATTTTCTGAAACTGATGCTTCTATACCAGAAAAAGGGAATGGTAGAATAACACATTGTTAACTTGATCATCATGAATGTTTTAAATATGTTGTAGAAAAAAATATTTTTTATAAACTTTAATAAATGTGTTTTGACATTTGACTTTTCATGAATCTAAAACATTCTAACATTGTGAAGACTTGTTCTATATATTTTTATATGAAAACTAAAATTTTCACTTAAATTTATTTAATTTTGGCATTTAAGTCATTTAGAATAGGAGGGGCAGATATTTTTATTTCTTGCAATACAGAGATGTGTATTGCATGATGTGGGTAAGAGTTTGTTATGGCAGTCATTCTACATTCCTTATATAATAGTTTTTTTTGGCAGATGTGTTCTAGCTCTTTTATGCTAATGTAATTAAACAGATACAAAGTGCCTTTGAATTCTAGAGAAAATGTCACAAAGGGTCAGAACCTGAAGGTCCAGAGCTTAATATACAGTTATTGTGTCCAGTCTGACGCCTCGAGTTTTATGAAAGTTATCTTGAAATAATACACTGAATATGAAGATAGGGACATCTGACGCTTCTGTTGGTAATAAAGTTTGCTGAGGTCAGCAGTTGAGAGGCCCAAACTGTACTACCTAGATTCAACAGCATTCACCTGTGTATGTCAGCAGAAATTTTTCTGGATATAAGGTTTATCCTCCATGCCCCAAATGCAGCTCTTCACAGGCCATTCCTTCATATATACTCTCACATGCTTTAAAGACTGAGTTTGCTCCAATCCGAAATATCTCTGGTCTCATTAACTTGTTGACTCTCTAATCAGTTATGGATATGAATTGCTTGTCAGAGAAATAAGATAAGTCACAAAAAGGGGGAAAAAATATTTTAATCAATTGAGATAAATGATAAAAGTGTTTAACCTTCTAATACTTTCTTCAATAATCTAAACATTTCTGAGCCCTTTTTCTCCCATCAGAAAGCTAGCCTAGCTAGCCTTTGTCGCGTTCTAAAAATGCTTCCTCCCATCTCAGTGTCATATTTGAAATACCAAGAAAAGATGACAGCCCAAGGTATGATGTTTGGGAAATAAGTAGAATGAGATAAATTATTGCATCTGATAATTATTTCCTCGGTTGCCGTTACTCATGCTGTGTATAGTTTACTGAACTCTCATTATAACTGAACATGACTGTAACCCATTACAACAGCTGCAATGAGGGACAATCATTTTTTGAATCTTTGGATGATGGTGAGAATACTTCATGATGTTGTATTGCATCACATTTTACCATGTCTTTTAACCATGTTCACCCACTACATGCTGTCATCAAAGGATATTTTTTAGAGTCGCCTGTGAAGTTCAGGCTCAGTTCATAAAGTAAACAACCTTCACTTCAGAACATAATGATAATTTTTTCATGTTACACACTAGTAAATTTTTGTTTCAGCATGCACAAACACACTTTTAACCCTTAGTGATGTGTGCATTTTTGTACCACTGACTAAGAGTAACCCCTACACATTTTTGCAGCAGAGCATCTGAAAAGTCGTATTTTGTATGGAAAGAATTACATGTGCTTGTGAATATTTTTGGTTTTATTTATTTTATAAATATGCATATTCCTCTCGAAAATGAAACATAAGTTTAAATTTTTTATTCACCATTGTATGATATCTTTAAAACATGTGCACTTGGACAAGCATCACGGTACTTACTAGTTTGACATCTGCCATCCTTCTGTCTTTTTAAACACAGAATGGAGTCCCTCTTTCCACCTTTCCTGGTTATATGCAGTTGTCCATTTAATCTTGTCTCACAAGTTGATGTAGAAACTCATGCTCTATCCTGCAAAAATCATCTACAAGCTGTTCGACTAAAATTTTCTGGATGGACAAGAAACAATGCTCATATGCTAGACATAATTCTAAATTTTCTTATCATCATTCATTTGTCTCCATGTTTTAAGCATAAAATAAGTCAGTGCATAAAAACAATCCCAGTGCCAACAATGACATAGCATCTTAAGCAAAATTATGTTAAATATGGACCACTGGAGTTACTGATAAATGAGCGATGTGTGTGTACCAAAGTATTTAGAATGCTTGGGTAAATTGATAATCTATACATGTTCAGTTGGTACAAATATAAAACCAAGAAGTAGCACAAATTTTCATGATTATGTTATAATAGTATCCTAGTTTGTACATATAACAGTTTTCTCCAAAAATATGAATATCAGGATATACTAACAGTATTTTAGAGAACATTGTAATATTATTTTACATGGTAGTTAACTTTGTTTTCTGGATAAAAGTAAGCAGTGGATGTTGAAAGATCGTGACATCAAACGTGTGTTGCAATTTTTTCAGGTTATTGAGTAGTATTATATCATGCACATATGCAAAATTTAAATGCAGAAGCATTAATACTGTTATGAATTTTGTACATAGATATCTAATTTTAGTGCAGTTATATGTAAGATTGTTGTATTTTTCTGTGTAAATATAACATGAAAAATCAAGAGAGGGAGACTACAGGGACAAGTCTGTTTAACATTGAGTAAATGGGTAGCTTAGTAATTTGGCGAAATATCGGGGAGCTGATAAAGGTTTTAGTGACTAAATTTCGCGCCATTTGGGTCTGGTTCCTGTATCACCGTAATAAGTATTGTAATTGATCACTGTTATTAGTTGTAACTATAATTCGACCCTCATATTGCCTTCCAGTAACTTCAAGAAGCAGAATGTACTAGAAATATCTTGGTGGCAGGGTAAAAACTGTAAGGCCAGTAAGAGCATCAGCTCTCAGTCGTTGGTGTTGTTAGCTGTTAGCTCACCATGAGTTCCGAGTATAGCTTTGCTCTATAGCTGCACTTTGTATTCCGTTGTCTTTAACATTCATAGTAGTTTGTAGTGTAACTATCAAATATATTCTGTGGTAATGTGAAGAGATACGACTGCTTTTGTGTACAGTTCTAGACCTCCGAAGTGTTTATTTTGATAAAATAAATTTTATCAACCTATTATCGAAGCCGTGTGTATTCAGTTTATTGTGAACCCATGCACATGCAACACTTTTCGGTTCAGAAGTCTGATTGAATGCCAGTGACAAAAACGATGGATGAGCTGTTAAAGACAGCTGGTGGCAGCCTCTGCTGCATTCAAAGAAGAGAAGAAAGCTGGCTAAGAATCTGCTAAAGAGATGAAAGCTTTTCAAGAAAAGATTGAAGCAGGTCAAGAGAAAATTAGCTGCATAATAAGAAAACAAATTTGAGGCTGTGGAAAGCAGAACAGACACAGTTGAAGAAAAAGTGGAGAAATTCAAGAAAGAGTTTCTGTGATGGAAAAACAAATTGATATAAAGAGTTTCTGCTGTCCAATAACAAATCCCACAACATATTGAAAACAGGGTTTTTGTGGTTGCCAAAGAAGTTGATACTCTTAAGAAATTCGTAGCAAGAGCAGGAAGCAATTCTGATGAATTTAAATTTTTACACATGCCTTGCCCCTTTCTTAAGCTATCCACACATGATGGTAAAACCTCCTGGCAAATACATAAGACACAATTTTCTATGGTGGCAGAAGTGAAACGATGGGATTTGCAAGCTAAGGCGTGTCATCTCGCTGCTTCTCTGAGAGCACACACACAGTGGATATCCTTCAGACTCTTCCCGAAAACCAAATGCTAGATTTCGAAGCTCTATCCAGTAAGTTGGAACTGCACTTCAGAGATATGTTTAAAAGACTACAGCAGGCTTCATTTAAAATCCCATCAATGAAAGCCAAAGGAAACACTCCAGGAGCTCGCCACAAATAATGAAAAGCTGTCCCACCTCGCCTTTTCGGAGTGTCCGACAGAAACAACGGAAATCCTGTCCCTGCAATACTTTATCGATAGCATCCGTGATCCTGAAATACAGAAAGCTCTGCGAATTGGTGGATGTTAAAGATTTTAAAAACACTCTAGTGTACGTCATGGAATTCGAGGCAGCCTACCGAGCAACTGTTAGAGACTGCCACTCAAGTTCAGGAGCCAGTGGATAACATCACTGATCGTCTAGCCGATTTAACTAGACAACTGAATGCCTTGAGCCAGAATATTGGTGATAAGAAACCGACCATAAAGTGCTGGAACTGCAGTGCTGAAGAGCACATACAAATAAACTGCAGAACACCTCAGGGTAAGGATGTTAAGACCTCTCCCAACAAGAAACAGGGAAACTAATAAGTGGTCATCTTGTGGGGCGGAGGTTGCCAGATGATGAGAAGACTCATTTTAAAGCGCTTCAAATTTCTGCCATGAGTGGCGACAGTAATGGACTCTTCATCATGGGACATATCAACGGGGTTCCCTATAATATCACTATCAATACAGATGTTACCATCATCAGAAAAGATTTGGCTCAAGAAATGGAAGGTAAACTTATCTGGACACTGCCCTGCGTTACCCTCCAGACTGTGACTGGCGAGAAGATCGATATCGATGGAAAATTAAACGTTACCATAACGTTTGGAAGTGTCGCCTACTACCATACAGCGTATGTAGCAAATATTACAGATCCTTGCATATTTGGATTGAACTTTCTAAAGAAATACAATTTTTCCTTAGATTTTAAAAATACCAAGTTGCATTTCTGCCTTTGAGGACATAGCCTTATTCGGGATTAATGATGAAGGAGAGAAATCTATCCACAGAATCATAGCTCAAGACAATATCACAATACCCGCAAGAATAGAGTTTTTACTTCCTGGATCCATAGACGAAAATATAGACATTTCCACTACAGCATCATAGAATATAATATGTAACAGTAATACTAGTAATATACTAGTAATCTCAGCACTAGTCGACCTATCGAGAATGGTTATACCGATGAGAGTTGCCAATGTAACTGAGAAGGCGAGAGTTATTAAGAGAGGTGAAGTGGTGGCAGCATGTACTCCAGTAACCAGCGTTAAACGAAGCAGTAACACTGTAGAATCCATATCTTCAGAGAGCACTACATCGGAGTTATTGCAGAATGCGCGTTTGAACGCTGAAGAGAGGAATGCTGCCGAACGTGTCATTCAAGACCTTCAACTTGTTTTCTCTCGCTTGTCTTCTGACGTGGGTTGAATCAGTTTGACACAACATAGAATCGATACCGGT